AATAAAAATCTCGTTAGTGGTTCCCGTTTATGTTGAGATGGTTTTAAGTTGGTTTTTGAATCCAATAAAGTTGTAATTTCTAAGTATGGACAATTTGTTCGAAAAGGCTATGAGAGTGGAGGCTTGTTCCACCTGTCTTTGTCAGATATTTGCATTGAAGTTATTAATAATATTTGCCACAATAATGAGTCTGATATTTGGCATTCACGACTTTGTCATATTAACTTTGGGTGCATGACGCGGCTAGCCAATATGAATTTAATTCCGAAAATCTCTACTGTCAAAGGCTCCAAGTGCCAAGTATGTGTGCAAGCTAAGCAACCTCGCAAGTCCCATAAGACTGCAGAGGCAAGAGACTTGGCGCCACTAGAGCTTATACATTCTGATCTTTGTGAGATGAATGGAGTGTTGACAAAAGGTGGAAAGAGATACTTCATGACGTTGATTGATGACTCCACTAGATATTGCTATGTGTATCTTCTGAAATCAAAAGATGAGGCTTTAACTTTATTCAAAAACTATAAAGCTGAAGCAGAGAACCAACTTGATCGAAAAATTAAACAGCTTAGGTCTGATCGTGGTGGAGAGTACTTTTCCAATGAATTTGATTTGTTTTGTGCGGAACATGGTATAATCCATGAGAGGACGCCTCCCTACTCACCTCAGTCAAATGGGGTAGCCGAAAGAAAGAACCGAATTCTAACTGATTTGGTTAACGCCCTGTTAGACACATCATTTTTTTCCAAGGAATGGTGGGGGGAGGCGCTGATGACTGCATGTCATGTCCTAAACCGAGTTCCCACAAAGCATAAGACCATGACTCCATTTGAGGAATGGTAAAGGAAAAGGTTGAAACTCTCTTACCTACGTTCTTGGGGTTGTTTGGCGAAAGTCAATATACCAATTCCCAAGAAGTGCAAGCTTGGACCAAAAACTGTGGATTGTGTTCTTCTGGGCTATGCTTTTCATAGCATAGATTTTTGATAATAAAATCTGAGGTATCCGACATGCATGTTGGTACTATTATGGAGTCTAATGATGCAACTTTCTTTGAAGACATATTTCCTATGAAGGATATGTCGAGTTCATCAAATCAGGAGATACCTACTCCATCTAGTGAGGAATTCACTGTAATTCCTGAACTCATCATTGCGATGGAACATATTGAGAATCCTGTTGAGGGTGACAATGAAACTCTTGTAAGGAGTAAGAGGCAGAGGACTGTAAAGTCCTTTGGTGATGATTTCATTGTGTACCTTATGGATGACACGCCCAGGACTATTTCAGAAGCATATGCATCTCCTAATGTTGACTACTGGAAGGAAGTTGTTCGTAGCGAGATGGATTCCATCTTGGCTAACGGAACTTGGGAGATCACTGACCGTCCTTATGGGTTTAAACCTGTAGGATGTAAGTGGGTGTTCAAGAATAAGCTTAGACCTGATGGTATGATTGAAAAGTACAAGGCATTGCTTGTGGCTAAGGGTTATACCCAAAAATAAGGTGAAGACTTCTTTGATACTTACTCACCCGTGGCTAGACTGACCACAATTTGAGTACTACTATCACTGGCTGCCTCGCATGGTCTTCTCGTTCATCAAATGGACGTTAAGATGGCTTTCCTCAATGGAGAGTTAAAGGAGGAAATTTACATGGATCAGCCAGATGGTTTTGTAGTACCTGGTCAGGAAGGAAAGGTGTGCAAGTTATTAAAGTCTTTATATGGCCTTAAGCAAGCTCCTAAGGAGTGGCATGAGAAGTTCGAAAGAACATCAACTGCTGTTGGGTTTGTAGTAAACGATGGTGACAAGTGTGTGTACTATCACCATGGTGGGGGCGAAGGAGTTATTCTTTTTCTGTATGTCGATGACATACTGATCTTTGGAACCAAACTTGATCTAATCAAGGAGGTTAAGGATTTCCTATCTCGCTACTTTGAGATGAAGGATCTAGGAGTATCTGATGTTATCTTGAACATCAAGATGTTGAGAGATGAGAATGGTGGGATCACACTGCTTCAGTCTCACTATGTGGAAAAGATCTTGAGTCGTTTTGGGTATAGCGACTGCACGCCTTCTCCAACTCCATATGATGCTAGTGTGTTGCTTCGAAAAAATCGACGGATTGCTAGAGATCAACTGAGACATTCTCAGATTATTGGCTCGCTTATGTATTTGGCGAGTGCCACGAGGCCTGACATCTCTTTTGCTGTGAGCAAACTGAGTCGGTTTGTGTCAAAACCGAGAGATGATCATCGGCGTGCGCTTGAGAGAGTTATGCACTACTTGAAAGGCATTGCGAGCTATGGGATTCACTACACCGGGTATCCAAGGGTACTGGAGGGTTATAGTGACTCAAACTGGATATCTGATGCTGATGAGATTAAGGCCACAAGTGGTTATGTTTTTACACTTGGTGGTGGCGCTGTTTCCTGGAAGTCTTGCAAACAGACCATCTTAACGAGGTCAACTATGGAAGCAGAACTCACAGCATTAGACACTGCCACTGTTGAAGCAGAGTGTCTTCGTGAGCTCTTGATGGGCTTACCTATGGTTGAAAAACCAATACCCCCTATCCTAATGAACTGTGATAATCAAACTGTGATCGTCAAGATAAACAGTGAAGGACAATATGAAGTCCTCAAGGCATGTGAAGAGGAGACTAAAATCTGTCAGAAAATTGAGGAACTCTGGAGTTATTATGTTGGATTATATCCAAACAACGAAAAACTTGGCAGATCCCTTCACAAAGGGTTTATCACGTAATGTGATAGATAATGCATCAGCGGAGATGGGTTTGAGACGCACCGCATGAGTTATCCATAGTGGTAACCCACTTTATGTGATCGGAGATCCCGTGAAGTAGAAGCGGGAGACAAGCTGTTGGTCAGCTGAGAGGAGAGTATCCCTATTTTAATTATCCCACTCCGTGAAGATGTAGCACTCTCCTGATCTGCATGGCAGGTTGATATTTATCTTAATGTGTTCCAAGTGGCTTATTTGAGTAAGCAGAGATGTTATCATGGAGAGCATCTCCTGAGGAAACTAGTTTCGTGGAAAACCTGTAGTTTAAGGCATAGTCCAGTATTCAAGTTGTGATCTAGTGTAGCATAAAACTCTAAGTGGAAGTTCAACTTCACAGTCCCACTAAGCACCGGCATATAAACAATGTTTTGGAACTAAATGATGAGATGTGCCAATGAGACTTTATGGGGGATTGTTGGAATTTTGCTAGTAGGCCTTTGGCCCAAAGCCCAACTAAAATTCTGAAATTCTCTTGGCCCATTCATGCACACATATGAGTGAAGTGAGTGAGACTAAAGTTTAGTCCCACCCCGGAAGTTGAGAGAGAGTTGCACCTCTTTATAAGGTGAGATCTTCTACCACTTGTATGAGCATGAGAAGAGGAGACCTACACGTGCGCTCCTCCTCCTCGCTTGCCTCGCCACGATGCGACGCGGTTTGCGGGGTTGAGCCGAGCCGAGGACAAAGCTATGCACGTTGTCTATATTTTTGCTGCTCGGGAAAAATTAATGAGTCATTAATTAATAATTAACGAGTGCGTTAATTAATGAACCGTTTCCGATTCTTTTGGATCGTGACGACTCGGGCGTGGGGTTTACTCCCACGACCTACCCGGCCCGCACTATATAGTCAAGCAGACGTCTACCCTAGCTGCCACCGCTTCGTATGGTTTCTCACTACCGTTCTAGATCATTGCACCGCCAAGCAAGTCTTCTCCATCTCTCCTTTCGGCGTGCACCGGAAGAAGGGACTTCAGGCCTCCGGAACCCCGCCTCTCATGATTCTGTACGGGAGATCAGATTTTTGGGGAGCGCACTCGTGCGACTGCTGGCAGCGACGACTTCACGAGCGACGACTTCTTCTCCGACCTCGGCAACCTCATCCTCGACGACATGGGCGACACCTTCAACGCCGGCGGTGCTGTTCCCACTGCACCGTATGTGATTCTATCCTTCCTATTCAAGATCATGGTAGAATTCATGTTTCTAGTATGTGCCCTACATGTGATCTGTTCATCTACTATGCTAGTTTGCACGATTAGTTTAATCTCTACTATTGTTGTCATGATTTATCTTCTATTCATTCGGATTAAATCTCATAGTAATTTGCTCATGTTTCCAACAAAGCTTTCGTTTTCAAGGGGCCGTCAACGACAACTGTATCATCAGTTTCATTTTGAATGAAAGAAATTGGGAGCTCTGCTCCTTAATTAAAAAAAGACGAAAAACAAAACATGGGGGTACAGTGGACTTCAACGACTTTGAGATTGCAATGCATCGATTTCTGCTTTCTGAGTCACAACCACCGTATTATACAATCGTCTGCCTCTCGCCGTCACCGCCATCGGTCCACCTCGTCTCCGGTGACCTTAGGGTCATGGTGGCGCGATGGATCTCGGCTCTTGCCAACGGAAGGACTTCGTTTTCAGTTGTTTCTTGGTTTGTGTCCTGCTTAGGAAGACGAGATGACGGCGACTCCCTAAAGATGGAATAAGGTTCTCCATGTTTAGCTTATGTCCCGATGGTGTGTCTAACATCATCGGTGGACGTGTGTCTCCGGCAGATCCGTCCTTTGGATTTGCTCGGATCTGGTCGTAGTTCATCTACGTTCATGTGTTTTCAGTTTGGATCCTTCCAATCTACGCTGCTCTTCATGGGCGGCGATTGTTGTTCTGATGTGCTGGTCCTATAGGGCCTTAGCACGACTATAGGGCCTTAGCACGACGACTTTCTGACTGTCTACTAAAACAAGTTTTGCCTGGCTCCAGCAAAGGAGGGGCAATGACGGCGGCGCCCCTTCGGCTCGCTTCAGTGCTTGTAGTCGTCGCTAGGTGGTCTACAGATTTAGATGTAATTTTATTATTTCTGGTGTTCGTTGTTCTGTCTTCATAGATCGAAAGTTTTCTAAAAAAAATAGTCACAACCACCGGTATTATGCAATCGTATCTACCACCCTCAGTTTCCCTGTGCAAGTCTTCTATTGTGCCATCTCCATTTCAAACTGTACTACATTCTCATTCCACAAGCTGCTGGCCAGGGACCTCTCGTAGAAAGTTACCTCACCATCCAGTTTCACCCCAATGGCCGCCATGCTTCGTGTCCCGTATCTTGCCTGAGAAATCAGATAGATATTTCAGCATCTCCATGCTCAATACAATTGCCAAAGAGAGAAAGTCGACCTGTTACATGGCAGGCATTTGTGCGAGCAATCTGCACCATCGATGTAAAGTGCTGTTTGCGTGAAACAACGTCTTGATATTACTCAGCCTTACAGATTTACCTGTCCCTTTTTCGTGTCGATGAATATAGAGCTCAACTGGTATTCCCAGTCAGGATCCACGCCAGTGTCAGGCACCGCAGATCTGTCAGTCTTGGCCGTATCTGTCATCAGTTCTTCAACCATCTGCTTCAAAGAGACTTCTGCGTCATCATGTGCTGCAAGAAATCTGTTGAAGTTCTGTCCCAAGCGCAACACCTGTAGGATGAGAAAAGAAAACGATGCCTGAAACTAGTACACAACTCTAGCTCGGGAAAAATTAGACTTGAAGCAATCAGAAGATAAGACTCTCTGGGTTTCCTCAGAATTTGTCCGTTTGTATATTTATCAGTATATGAAATGGTGCATAAAACCTGCTTATCACAAGACAGTGCACTTATAGTGTTTAGAAACATGTATCATGTATGCATTCTAAAACTATAAAAGAGAACCCACTAAATACAGCTGTGAATTTTAGTTGACCACAGTATTCGCTCAATTAGATTCAGTTCCTCTTCAAGATAAAGGCAAACTCTTGTTTACGTGTTCTCTAAGAAAACCAAATGAACTTCAGTGGAAGCAAAGATAGATATCTAGACCAGTTGCCCAACTGCACAAGAATTTCAGATTGTACAGAATAGAACGGACTTGGAATATGTGAAGGTCAATTGCACAAAAAAAAGTCCATTTCCAATAAGCCCTCTGATCCATATTAATACTGAAGTTGTACTAAGTCAGCGACAATTAATATGGATAGGAGGGAGTGATAGTTTTCTGGATTATAGTACATTCAAATTAACCTGCAAAATTATGAACTCTTAACATACCAGACCAGTTTGTTAGTATTCATGGACAAAGTAACCAAAAATTAGTGGATTTTTTAATTCAACTTTAGCAGTAGACCAACAAATCTGGCCTAGAAAGCCTGTCATCACAAATCAAAAAATGAATGGCAGATTCACATAAACCACAGATGGAGCATTAAACTGGGGTATTGCAATTTTAAGTTTTAAGCCAGACAAGTTTGGTCACATGAAACTTCCACGAGGTGCCTGAATCTCAAGCATCTTGACTTCCTCTTTTTTTTGCAGAACAATAACTTGAGCATAGTAGCAGCAAAGAACTATCCAGAAAACATACAAAATCACACTCCTAGTCATGAGTACAGTTGTTGCATGTACCTTTGGCCAAGGGGAGTCAATAGCAGCATTAGAAAGCACATGACACCCAGGAGAAACTGTTTGAACCACAGGAGGGTCACCTGGCTTATTAGAGATGTACACCATGGTTCCTGAACGCACATCGGCCAATACAAGATTAAAACCATTGTACTGATCTGCTTCCTTTGCAATTTCAGTTGCATACTCCAATGGACCCTGCCTGCCCTATATCAAAAATATCACAGTAAAACAAACATAGTCAAGAACACAACATGGATTCCTTAAACAATAGTCAATGAGGTTGAAAGGATTGATGGAGGAAGACTGCAGAAAATGCAGTGACCTCTCATATGTAAGCAAAGTCAAATGAGCTGGTCACTTGCAAATTGAAGAGGTCAGTCAACAGGCAAACCTCCTATTTCGAATTTGAAAGATGAAGTTGAATCAGCATCATATGCCAGGATAACATTCGACACAACTGTGGCATGCTATATAATAGAATTATCTTGTATATACACATAGAAATTATGGTACACTAACTTTGCTTTTGGAGCTGTGGGCACACAAAAGAAGGGCTTATACCATTGGAGCATATGCAGAGCAGGATCACACATTACTCAGAATCTTAAGATACATCATGCAAGAAGCTGTTTTGAGTTCAACTACCGAAGGAACGGAGAAAACAGAGCAAATTTGAGAAGGTCGCACCTGGAGAAACCTGACGGGAAGCTCCCCTCTGGACCTCGCCCCAACCCGGGGGCTGGGCTCCCGGACGTTGGTCAGGAAGGCCAACTTCCCTCCCTTCGGGCACCCCAGCCACGTGCCCCCGCCTAGCTCGTCCTTGCCCCCGAGGATCTCCTCGCCCTCCCCCGCGGCGGCCCACCACTGCGCTGGCCGCGTCGGCCTTCACATAATTCGCGTGCGCACGATCAGAAGGATAGAGAGATTGGAACACGAAGCGGGGGCGGATCTGGGCTACGAGGGGGCGGGGGGCAGCGCACCTGGAGTGGTACTCGTCGCGGTTGAAGAGGAGGAGCAGGCCGTACGCCTGGTGATCCTGCCATGTCCACGCCGCGATGCACATGGCCGTCGGAATCGGGGGCTCGGTTCAGTGGAGAAGGCGAAAGGTTCGGGAGGTAGTCGGAAGACGTGTGTGCTCGCTGAACGCGGCGCCCGTCGTTGGGTAGAGCACGACGAGGACGGCCGACGGTGACCGGCGAGATGGTGTAATTACGGAAAGGTCCCTATAGAAGAGCGAATATATGTCCCAGGCCTAACCAGGGTCCAGATCGTTAGGCCAACTCCAACGCGTGACCCCAAACAGATGTCCGTCTTGTCCGATTTTCTTTTGTTTGGAGGTGTGGATGGGGCCGTGTCTGCCCGGATTTGGGTTTGCGGCGGCCGGGCGCCCAACGCGCGGCAGCATCCTCGATCGCATCTTGTCCCCGTGCATGCAAAAGCGAGAAACCAAGGATTTAAGCCGCGACCACGGTTCGCACTAGTTCACGCCGGCCGGCAACACAACCGGTGGCCTACAGTATGATGCCGGCAGCAAAGCCAGCGGCCGGCACAGGAGCCAGCCTTCGAAAAGGACATATTTCACGCTGGAAACAAAGCCAGCGGCCAGCACACGAGCCAGCATTCAAAATGAACAAATTTTGTCGCCGGCAACAAAGCCAACGACCGGCACAGGAGTCAGCCTTCAAAAAGGACCGCCATCGCGGCCATTGCGGCCGAGGTCTCACCTAGATCAGGCCGTCGTGGGCAAACATCTCCTTCTACAGATTCGTGAACCAAGCCTTCCTCTCCGGTGACATGTTGTTCTTGTCGACGATCATCAACGCTAGTGCCACCTCCTTGGCTTTTTGTGTCGGCATTGGTGACCTCGATCTCTAGCTTCTGGAGTTGAGTGGCCTCCATGATGTCAAGCTTCCTCTTCTTCACGGCCTCCTCCATGTCAAGCTTCTTGGTTTGAAGATCTAGGTATATCTTCATTTGCTCCTCCTTCCCTTTGCTCTTCCTCTCCTCCCGCATTTCCTTTTGGCTCATCATATCCTTCGAAGTCCCATGCAAGGCTATGGAAGACGCATCACGCTTCTCGTCGGACTTGGAGCTTGTCTTGCGCCTCGGCCTCTTGAGCACGTCTCCCACATCAGCCTTGGTTGTCGCCTTCTCTCCTATCTTCTTCCTACGAGCATTGTATTGGTCCTTGAACTTGGGGCAATCTTTGATAAGCACCCAACAATGCATGAGAGTGAATGGCTTGTCTTTGTGTCGGGCCTTGAAGGCTTCCAAAGATTGGAATGCCTACACAATCAAACATGCGGCCAACATGAAAGGACATAGAATGCATGAAACTTAGGTGGCATGCCAACATGAATGGACATATGATGGAAAAGAGAGAGCTTCATACCAAGTCACCAAGGCCTAGGCCGCTCACGGGACGGGCTTTGATGCTCTCTAGCGCGGCACAAAACTTGTTGCATTCTTGTTGGATGAATCTCTACCTTTTTTGGATTGAATTGATGCCTCGGGTGCTTGTGAATTGGTAGGGGGTCAAACTTTCTTCGCTCATGAAAGTTCTTGTGAACTCTTGTCCAAAAGGCGGCTCCTTTTTGCTCGGCACCTTTGATTGGATCTTGGTTGATTTCCTTCCAACTCTCGCAAATCAAAGTGTCCTTAGCTTGGCTATATGATCCCGTGTGAATGCTCTTCTTCCTCTTTTGTGCTTCACCCTTTTGGGTAAGCTCCTCGACGAAACACAATGGCTCCGCGAAAATGTCGATCTCATCTTCTTCATCTTCACAATACAAGTCATCATCTTCATGCCACGAGTTGCCATGGCCGTCCTCATCATCATCATCATCATGGTTGCTGAACTGAGAGTCGTCATAGGTACCACGGTCGTCCTGGCTTTGGGTCGCGTTGGCATCATAAGGTTGCTCTTGGTCACCGACGTGGAATGCCTCACCACGACCCTCGAAGATGACGTTCTGCATGAACGCGCGTACTGAGGATCGTTGACGACCGTTGACGTCTGCGTCAGTGGTGGCATTTCGTCGAACAGCTTGCGGGCACCGGGCATGTGAGTCGACTCGAACGATCGGGGCTGCTTCCTTTGCACGACGTCTTCACAATGGCCAGCGCCACTGTATCCCGGTGTGATGTTGAGGTTGATGAAGCCCGTGGGCGTGGTCGGATCGACCACCATGCAATCCGGCGATGTGGAGAACCTCGTCTACCCATGGTCGTGCGACGGTGGAGCATGAACACCCGACGTGTCTTGTGAGACGGACGAGCTCGGGGAACGGTGTTGCGGCGGTCGATGGACCGAGGAGCATGTTGTCGGTGTCAAAACCGGTGAATCTCGGGTAGGGGGTCCCGAACTGTGCGTCTAGGCGAATGGTAACAGGAGACAAGGGACACGATGTTTTTACCCAGGTTCGGGCCCTCTCGATGGAGGTAAAACCCTACTCCTGCTTGATTAATATTGATGGTATGGGTAGTACAAGAGTAGATCTACCACGAGATCAGAGAGGCTAAACCCTAGAAGCTAGCCTATGGTATGATTGTTCTTCGTCCTACGGACTAAACCCTCCGGTTCATATAGACACCGGAGAGGGCTAGGGTTACACAGAGTCGGTTACAATGGGAGGAGATCTACATATCGTATTGCCAAGCTTGCCTTCCACGCCAAGGAAAGTCACATCCGGACACGGGACGAAGTCTTCAATCTTGTATCTTCATAGTCCGGGAGTCCAGCCAAAGGTCATAGTCCGGCCATCCGGACACCCCCTAATCGAGGACTCCCTCAGTAGCCCCCGAACCAGGCTTCAATGACGACGAGTCCGGCGCGCAGATTTGTCTTTGGTATTGCAAGGCGGGTTCTTCTCCAAATCCCATATACCTGTCGAATAGTGTCTGGCTTCTGATGAATGTTGCGCTCCTTGGCTTCTGCGCCCAATAATGGCCATCTTCCACGTGTTAAAAGAATGCGAAAAGACAGGGTGTTTTTTCATTTACCCCCCTAGCTGCGAAAAATGCGTCGCCTATAAAAGAGGCGGGGATTTAGATCCGAATCACACCATCTTCCCTCCACGAGCATTCATCAGAGCGTATTCGACAGAGATCCATTCCATCATGGCCGGTTGACGCAGCTCCTCCTCTCGCCCCCCAGCCCTCAGCCTGGAGATTGGGAGAGGTGTTCTGTCCCGCACAGTGAGCTAGTAGCGCTCCAAACCAAGGGGCTTCTCCCCCCAGCTTACATGGTCCCAGTTCGAGCCGGGATTGCCACCTATAATGGTGGAGAGCAAGCGAAGAGCGTCCCCAATCCCTCCAAAGGAGAGCGGGTATGCCTTGTCCCTTATTTAATAAGAGGGCTCAGATTTCCAATTCATCCGTTTCTCTGGGGGCTCCTGGAGTTCTATGGCCTCCAGTTACACAACCTTACGCCCGCCTCCATATTGCATATTGCGGGCTTCGTAGCCCTTTGTGAGCTGTTTTTGGGCATCGAGGCCCATTTCGCGCTGTGGAAGAAGTTGTTCTGCCTCGTGCCCCGTTCTCAGGAGGGGTCGATATATCAAGTGGGCGGAGCCGAACAATGGCGCATCACCGGGACCGGATATCTATCCGGAACCCCAAAGAAGGCGTCCGAAGACTGGCCTTCAGAATGGTTTTATATAGAAGACGTCCCTCTACCGGACCCTGTACGGATCGGCCTTCCTGAGTTCAATAATGCTCCCTTGAAGAAGCGCCTGAGCTGGCGCCAACGGAGCCCTCAGAAGGAAAATGACAGGGACGTCCTTTACCTAATGAGTCGGATAAGGTTGTTAGCTCATTCCGGACTGACCATGATCGAGGTCATGGCCACATGCATTACGCGGGGGGTGCAGCCGCTTCAATACAGAGGCCACCCCATGTGGGATTTCAACAGGAAGGAAGACGCCACCCGATGCGGCCATAAGGGGCCGGATTCGGCTGCCACTCTAATGAAGATCTTGTCTGCTTTGTACAAGGGAGAAGAGGAGGAATTCCTCCGCGTCAACCCACGGGGCGGATTTTCTATGTACAATCCTCCAAGCTGGGTAAGTGAACACTTTCACTTGCCCATCCGTTTTCATATTCCCATAGTTAAATACTTAGTCTAGCAATTTCAACGCAGGAACTACGCCAGACTGTGAAGGAGATAAACAACCCTCCTCCACAACCCGAGGACCCGGAACGGTCCCTCGACCCGGACTCCCAAGAGGACCCAGACTTATGTGTGGAGCTGATTGATGGGGTGTTTCATCAATTGAGTAAGGACAACACCTTAGTGGCCATTACGGCCGATTATCCCGGACTACTTCCAGCCTCAAAGGTAACTGAGACCGAAGTCCCAGTATTTTCAAGAGGATCCATCCGTGCTTATTTTCGTATACCAACGGCGTTTTTTGTAGGGGAAGTCCTTGAGGCGGAGGGCCGAGCCCGCGGCGGCTAGCCAACAAGGGCCATCGAGGCCCAGTGGGCTAAAAAGAAGTGCGGACCGGATCGAGACGCCGACGCAACAGTACAGCGTGCAATTTTAATGCCCAAGGTTTATGCCCTCAAGGCATACTAATGCTCATGCTCTCTTCAAGAAGAAGATCGCCCGCCGGACTATGTCCACCGGCCGGGCTTCAAGGCCGGGTCCGGAAGCGGAGGCGAACCCGGGGCGCGCACCGGACGCTCCTCCAACAAAGGATGCAGACAGGCTATCTGCCACCAATTCCGAGGTGGAGAGTGCCATTAACCACAGGCGTCGCCGAACTGTTCTTCGTGACGCTTGTTTTTTCCAAGAGGCGTTGGACGCTTTTAATACGGGAGATGCGTACCTCCGTGCCGCTCAAAATGGTCTAGCCAGAGCCACAGAGCAGTATGTAAAAGATATACGGGTGAGAAAATTTGATGGTTATATATGTCAGTAGCCCCCGAGACTTGAAACAGTTAGAATGACTGATTTAAGGATCATTTGTTATGCAGGATCTTACAGAAAAGAATACCCGACTGTCCCAGGAGCTGGAAGAGTGCAAAGCCCAACTTGAGGCCGCACTAGCCGCAACAAGG